TGCCTTGATGACAGCTTTGCATAGGTCAGTCAATCTGGAAAATTTCAAGAACTTTGAACGTTTCTTCAAGTGCAGTCACAAAAACCATCAAGCGCTATGATTTTGCCTTGATGACAGCTTTGCATAGGTCAGTCAATCTGGAAAATTTCAAGAACTTTGAACGTTTCTTCAAGTGCAGTCACAAAAACCATCAAGCGCTATGATGAAACTGGCTCTCATGAGGACTGCCACAGGAAAGGAAGACCCAGAGTTACCTCTGCTGTAGAGGATATGTTTGTTAGAGTTACCAGCCTCGGAAATCGGCAATTAACTGCACCTCAGATTGCAGCCCAAATAAATGCTTCACAGAATTCAAGTAACAGACACATCTCACATCAACTGTTCAGAGGAGACTGCGGGAATCAGGCCTTCATGGTCAAATTGCTGCAAAGAAACCACTACTAAAGGACACCAATAAGAAGAAGAGACTTGCTTGGGCCAAGAAACATGAGCAATGGACATTAGACCGATGGAAATCTGTCCTTTGGTCTGATGAGTCCAAATTTGAGATTTTGGGTTCCAAGAGCTATGTTTTTTTGAGACGCAGAGTAGGTGAACGGATGATCTCCGCATGTGTGGTTCCCACCGTGAAGCATGGAGGAGGAGGTGTGATGGTGTGGGGGTGCTTTGCTGGTGACACTGTCAATTATATATTTAGAATTGAAGACACACTTAACCAGCATGGCTACCACAGCATTCTGCAGCAATATGCCATCCCATCTGGTTTGCACGTAGTGGGACTATCATTTGTTTTTCAACAGGACAATGACCCAAAACACACCTCCAGGCTGTGTAAGGGCTATTTGACCAAGAAGGAGAGTGATGGAGTGCTTCATGAGATGACCTAGCCACCAAAATCACCTGACCTCAACCCAATTGAGATGGTTTGGGATGAGTTGGACCGCAGAGTGAAGGAAAAGCAGCCAACAAGTGCTCAGCATATGTTGGAAGCTCTTCAAGACTGTTGGAAAAGCATTCCAGGTGACAACCTCATGAAGCTGGCTGAGAGAATGCCAAGACTGTGCAAAGCTCTCATCAAGGCAAAGGGTGGCTACTTTGAAGAATCTCAAATATAAAATATATTTTGATTTGTTTAACACTTTTTGGGTTACTACATGATTCCATATGTGTTTTTTATAGTTTTAATGTCTTCACTATTATTTTATAATGTAGAAAATAGTAGAAATAAAGAAAAACCCTTGAATGAGTAAATGTGTCCAAACTTTTGACTGGTACTGTATATCAGTATGGTATTACTTAGCAGTATTGTTCCAATGTTATGCTTGTGATTTCACTTCTACTTGTCCACTGTGCTCTACATACCATTTACCAACCATTGCTGTCTTCTTTGTGGACCGTCATTGAGATCTCCTGATGTATTTTGCGGCTTCACTGTATCCACTGTGCTCTATGGTCAAATGATTTGACCTCTTAGTATGCATAGTCAATAAACAATTAATTTCAGAATAGTTGAATGAAGGTTTGATGTAAAAGCTGTTGTTCTTCAGGACCAACTATTGCCGGGGCTGTCTCAGAGAAAGGAGAGATCAACAGGAGTCAGGTCATTCAGCGGTCTCGCTCATCTCCTGTGGAGCTGAGCCTTGCTGACTGGGTGCCACAACATAGACAGGAGTGGACGTGTAGGAGAGACTGAGTGTGAAGTATATATGCCTATCCTCCTCAGACCAATGCAGATCAATGTCTGTTCTCCCTCTCTCTCTCACTCACTCCCCCCAACTTGAAGAGAAACACTCTATCCCTCTCTTTCTAGTCCTATCTCTCATCCCCCTCTCTCTTGCAACAATGTCCCACTGTTAGGCAAATATACTGATGTGCTGTGCATGGATGAATGCCTGTTTCCCAACAAGCTGCAAGGCGACAACGTCAGTCTCATTTTTATGAAAGAAAACTTTATTTAGTGATTTATAAACAAAACACATTACCACTGTATCCATTTAGGTAAAATAAAAAAACTGAAATAAATGCAATTTCACAATTTTACAGTCATAGTAGATGAGCAGGTGTACAAAAAAAAGGTTTTACAACAGATCAGTACTGCCCAGTAGGACAGAACAGTGCCACCATTGGTCACCACCATACTCTAAATAAAGAATGACAGCGTGAACGCTCACTAAACACAAGCATACACTACATATACCATTTTTACATTGGACTTTTTTTTCTGTCATTTTTTATTTTTTTTCTGTTGAAAGGGGGTGAAAGGGAAAATATAGCTTATCACAGGATCATACATATTTCAGTTACAATATTAGTGTTAGGTAGATCATCATGTCAAAGCCGGACACAAAACATATTTTATTTTATTTTTCTCATTTTCTTTTCTTTGCTTGTTCTCAAAAAACGAAAATTATATTTTGGTAAAACAAAATGAACAGAGTTGCATTCAAGGCCATCACACTATATTTACAAATATCTAAGAGGTTTAGTTAACGTATAACACCACTGTGGAGTGCGGAGGCTGTAATATGCAGAAGATGCATGGTAGAGACGGTACACACAAATATCTCCTTTGCGAGTCAGGAAGTAAAATGATAATACAAAATAATAAAATCATAGCCATCTATTTCTATATATATATATTTTTTTATCTATACTATACTATGTTTCCTTTGAGACTTACATGCAGCAGCCACTTTAGTGAAGTGAAGTCATACTGAGTTGCAAAACCTGGGGGGCGTGGCAACAACTTACAGGCAAGGGAAGGGGGAACCAATAGAAGCAGGGCTGAAGCATGTCTCCGCCCCTTTACAAAACCTCCTGAGAGAGGATTGGTGGGATAGAGCTGTGGGGTGGGAATCCTTAGATGCTCTTATTTATTCATTAATAATGTAATAATTAGGCTATACATCGTATTTATTAATGCAACGTCCATGTATGAAAAGCAAGTCTAAATCTACATTTATTGTGTACATAAAAGCCAATGGGTGACCTACTGTTTTGATTCACCAATCGTAATCAATCAATTTAGGGATATATGTCTACCCGGGAACATGGAGGACAGGGATAGCCCTCGGCACCATGTACCAGACCTCCACCCCATCTCTGTCCCCATCCCACCTCGCCCCCTCTTGCCAGTGACCACAAACAGGAATGAACAGCGTAGTATTCACAAGTTAAAAGCACTCAACCGTTTTGCACTTAGAGGCATCTGACGTTAGCTCACAGAATACTGGCCCCCGGCCCCCTACTGGGTTCTCCAGGCCTCGTCCATATTACTGATCCCAGCATACCACAAGGTTCAGAGTAGGCCTTACCAGTTCACCCTGAATGAACAGGGGGTTAGAGGGGGAGTCTATGGCCAGAAAAAGAGAGAGACGGAGGGAAAGAGGGTGGGTGGGATAAGCAGAAGCACTGCAGATCAGTTAAAGCTAACAAAACAGAGTAGGAAATCGTGGCTCTTCTCCAAGAACAAATAAAAAGAGAAAAAGATTCACAAATGTCATCATCATCACGTGAAGAAGCAGTCTGTGTTTGGGGTAAGGGTGGGTTGAGGGTGGGGTTGAGGGGAGGTGTGGGGTTGAGGGTGGGGTTGAGGGTGGAAAGGTCAGGGGGGTGGGGAGGATGGGGATCAGGTTGGATATCAGGTAAAGGATGGTTGCTACCAAACATTCAGAGTAGAAAGCATCAGGCTTTTGCTGAGTGGCAGGGGAGAGATCATCTTTAGCTAGACGCTCCTGCTATTCTACAAGGTTCCAACTCAGCCCTGATCAACAAGCTGGATCACAGGCCAACTCAGCTGGACTTCTCTCTTTCGTTCTCAAGGGAATCTGAAGAGTGTCCCTCCTTTCTCTCATTCCCTCTTTCTCTCTCTTCGCATTGAGCTGTTGGCTGCTTTGAGAGAGAGGGATCTCATTGTCCCAAAATAGAGTATTGAGCGGACCAACCAGGAGTAACTCAGGGGATGCTGCTGTGTCGATCCTGAGAGAGTAGATCTACAGTATACGTGTGTACTGCTGAGGAGACTGTGCTGCTGGGGAAAAAGCTTGCGTTCTGTATTAAACACATTGTTGTTTGTTGTTTGTTGGCAGCTCCTAGATTTGTTACCTCTTTCCAGGTCTCAGGTGTTCTCAGTGTCCAGGTTTGTGTGTGCGTGTGTCAACGTGTATGTGTGTATCATTGGCAGCCATGTTTTCCTTGCCGTCTCAGGGAACACTGACAGATAGAGAGCGCGATAGGAAGCTGCAGCAGCAGTGTCATGTTAGCCTTTAGCCTCAGCTTTAGCGACTCTCTCCTGTGCTATTTACAAGTGTGAGTGTCCAGCTCTAAATCACCAACATTTAGCTCTTTCTGTGTGTCCTCTTCAATTTACTTTATTTTCTTCTTCTTGACATTAGCTTTTTTTGCTGTTTTTCCGAGGCTGGCACAGAGCTGTTTTCTTCTCCTCCTCAGATTTTATTTTCCTCTCAAAGAAATTGGATTATACAAGATGGTGGGAAAGGGTAAGACCGAGGTGCCAACGTATCTGTGAGAGAGAAGGTGAATAGCAGAGGGCGAGGGGAGACAATAGCTCTTGTCCCCTTGCTGAGAAGAGTGGGGAGGGTATTGTTTGACTCAGGGTGTGTAGGCAGGCACCAGGGGGCACGGAGGAAAATGCATCAATACATTTTTTCTCATCAAGGCATGATTAATCAATTACCCAAGACAGGGATTTGGAGTAGACGGTAAACTACAGCAATCTTGGTAAGGCCAGATTTTTACCAGAGAGTGTTAGAAAGACCTGGGCTATTATCTTTGTTCCAGGGGTGGGTATCGAGCGGACCTCGGAAGTGTGACTTTGTCTGCCTGTCTGTGTTACTAAGCCAGAGATGATGAAGTTGAACTGGGAATCTCTCTTCTCACCTGTTGTCTCAAATACTTTGATTTTTGTTACCAGGTGGACTTTGGTTGGTACCTCTGTTTTAACATCTCCCTTTCCTTCTCTTCCTCTTCCTCTTCCTCCT